CATCCACCCACCCACCCATCCTTCCACCCACCGATCCACCCATGCACCCATCCGTCTACCCACCCATCCATTCTTCCATCCCTCCATTCATCCATCTGTCCTTCCATCCTTCCACCATCTGTCCATCCATCCTTCCATCCATTTATCCATCCTTTCATCAATCCACCCATCCACCTATCCACCCCATCTATTCCAGTCGCCCATCCACCCATCCATCTACCCACCATCTACCCATCCACCCACTCACCCACCCATCCACTATCCACCCATCCGTCTTCCCACCCTCCCACCCATTATCTACCCATTCATCCATCCATTCTCCCTCCCTCCATTCACCACTGTTGGTCATATGATGTTCTGTCTAGAAGCTCTGACATGACATCTCGGCCATCTCTGTGCTGCCTGTGCCTCCCACCTGTGGTCGCAGCCACGGGCTGATTCCTTAGCTAAACTCTGCACAAGCCAGAGGCCTGAGTGGAGTGTCTGCCCCATGCCAAGCCCCTGCTTACTGTCCTAACCCAGAACCTGCCCAGTGTGCTCACAAGTGAGGAGGGACATGGGTTTCCCCCAGGATCCCTCAGCAAGCTGCCCAGGGCAGCTGTTTCTACCCACTGACCACAGATGCAGCCCTGGGCCTGCCTGGCACCTCCCCTTCTCTCCTCACCCCTCCTTCCCCGCCCGGCACCTCCTCTTCTCTCCTCACCCCTCCTTCCCTGCCCGGCACCTCCTCTTCTCTCTCCTCACCCCTCCTTCCCCACCCGGCACCTCCTCTTCTCTCCTCACCCCTCCTTCTGTGCCTGGTGCCTCTTCTTCTCTCCTCACTCCTCCTTCCTTCTCCCTGCAGTTTGGGGAGCACTTTGAGTTCGACTGCAAGGACTGTATCTGCCTGGAGGGTGGAAGTGGCATCATCTGCCAGCCCAAGACGTGCAGCCAGAAGCCTGTTACCCACTGCGTGGAGGATGGCACCTACCTGGTCACGGAGGTCAACCCTGACGACACCTGCTGTAACATCAGCGTCTGCAGTGAGTCTGTGCCCGGGCCCCGGTGCACATCCCCGTAGGTGGGGTTGCATGCTGTCCCCTCCTGGGCAAGTGAGGAAACAGCCAGTGTGGGAGCATCCAATGTCCCCCTTGAGAGGGCTTGGGAGGGGCCGCTGGGCTGGGTCCAGACATCCCTGCTGCAGGGCTGGTCCTAGGTGGGGAGGGGCCCCGTGGAGGTGCAGCGGCCCCGAGGGCTTTGCCTGCCAGGAGCCACCCTCACGGGGCGTGCCCACCCTGTCTTCAGAGTGTAACACTAGCCTGTGCAAAGAGGAGCCCCCCCTGTGCCCGCTGGGATTTGAACTGAGGAGCAAGATGGTGCCGGGCAGGTGCTGTCCCTTCTACTGGTGTGGTAAGCAGGGCTGCAGGGTGGGCAGGAAGGAGGCCACGGCCAGGATGGGGTGCATGTGGGGAAGGACTCCCTCCTGGGGGCCTCAGATTCTGGGGACACAGATGGCTGCATGATTGGCTGATGAACCACCCCAGCCCCGAACGCATGCCCCATTCCCCGGGGGGGGGGCACCAGGAATGGGGGTCCAGCCAGATGGCCACCCCAGGGCAGTCACCAACCAACGGCCTTCTCCGTTCTTTCTCCCAAGAGTCCAAGGGGGTATGTGTTCACGAGAATGCGGAGTACCAGGTGAGCCCTGGGCTGGGTGGGGGCGAGGAGGGGAGGAGGTTGGGCTGTGGCGTGGGGGTCCTGGCAGGTTCTCAGCCAGCTAGGGTGGCCCCCGCCTCACATCTCTCCCTGTCCCCAAAGCCCGGTTCTCCAGTGTATTCCTCAAAGTGCCAGGACTGCGTCTGCACCCACAAGGTGGACAACAGCACCCTGCTCAACACCATCGCCTGCACCCACGTGCCTTGCAACAACTCCTGCAGCCCCGTAAGTGGCCGCCCAACCCCAGCTCCTGCCTTGGCCCTGGATCCTGCCCCAGCCCCAGCTCCCACCCCAGCCCCAGCTCCCACCCCCGCCCCAGCTTCCACCCCAGCCCCAGCTCCCGCCCCAGCCCCAGCCCGGCTCGCACCCCAGCTCCTGCCCCTTCCCTCCTACCAGACAAGCACCGGGGCCCATGTCTGAGTGGTGGCACTTTCCTCCTTTCAATGCCCACCTGCCGCTGTCCCCACCTCTCCGTGCTGTCGCCTGCCCAGTCTGGGGCCTCCTCCAAGTGGGGGTCACAGCAGCCCTGCAGGTTTGTGTGGTGTGGGGCACAGCCCGGGGGCTCAGCTGCCGCTGTGTGTCTGTCCGCAGGGCTTCGAGCTGGTGGAGGCCCCCGGGGAGTGCTGTAAGAAGTGTGAGCAGACACACTGCATCATCAAGCGCCCCGACAACCAGCACATCATCCTGAAGGTGGGTGCCACTGCCCCGAGGCCGCCGGGTTGCCTGAGCCCTGGGCAAGGCTGAGTCCTCCCAGTCCTGGGCGCAGCGGTGATGGGTGTCCTGGAGCTGCCGTGACACAGGAGCAGGCGCCATAGGGCAGAAAGGGATTCTCCTGGGTCTGGAGCCCAGAAGTCCAAGAGCAAAGGGCCTCAGGGCTGCGCTCCCTTGGAGGCTCTAGGCAAGGACTCTTCCCAGCCCCTGGTCACTGCTGGTATCCCCTGGCTGTGGCCATGGGGCTCCATCTCGTCTGTAGCCACGTGGTCTCCTTCGCGGTGTCGGTCTCTCCTCTTCCTTTTAAGGATTTAGTACTCCCCCGTGCCCCCCCACTGCCCCCTGCATGCAGGATGATGTCATCCTAGGATCCTCCAAGGCCCCGCCCCTCCTCATCCCCACACAGGATGATGTCATCCTAGGAGCCTTCAAGGCCCC